CCTATCCAGTTTGGCTAAGTGGATAGAGCCTTGGCCCGCTGACCTCAGGGTCACCACAGGGTCCAGGTTTGATTCTGATCAAGGGCATGTACCTAGGTTGCAGGCTTCTCCCTGGGGGTGGGGGGCAGGTCAGGGCTCATGCAGGAGGCAATCAATTGTCCCTCTCACATGATATTTCTTTCTGTCTTTCCCTCTCTCTTTTAAGCTCTCTAAAAATCAATGGAAACATATCCTCCGATGAGGAAAAGAAAGAAAGAGAGAGAGAGAGAGAGAGAGAGAGAGAGAGAGAGAGAGAGAGAGAGAGAGAGAAAGGAAGGAAGGAAGGAAGGAAGGAAGGAAGGAAGGAAGGAAGGAAGGAAGGAAGAAGAAAGAAAGTTCATATCCTATGAAAGACACATCTTGAAAATGCCTAAAGAAAGTTGTCCTTTTTTCATGGTAAAGGGACTGGAGTCCATGTTGATGAAAATAACTTGGTGGCTGCGGCAGCCAGCAGTGGCAACAGCAGCGGGGTGATGTGGCTGGTGCCTTCCCCTGATTAGCCTGGTCACCTCCCACAGAGGAAACCCTGCTACCCATCAGTAGGGCATCCCCTGAGGGCTCCCAGTCTATGAGAGGGGGCAGGCTGGGCTGAGGGACCCTCCTCTCCCCCAGGTACAAATTTCATGCACTTGCCTCTAGTAATAGGTATAGTAATAATTAATGTCGTTTTCTAATACTTTTTAAAATCGAATTTATTTAAACAATACAACAAAATTTAATCAACAATATAGTTGCCGTTGTCTTCTACTACTTGTGCCCAAAGCTCAGGAAGCATTTTAATCCCTCTGTTGTAAAATTCTTGTGATTTTGATGCAAAAAATTCGGTCAATGCATTTTTGAGGCATTCTTCATTATTAAATTTTTTTCCAAGAAGAAAGTTTTGCAAAGAACGAAACAAATGGTAATCGGAAGGGGCAATATCAGGAGAATATGCAGGTTGAGGGAGAACTTCCCATTCCAACTGGCGCAGTTTTTCAGCAGTGATTCTTGCAGTATGCAGTCGTGCGTTATCGTGGTGAAGAATTACGCCCTTCTGATTAATCAGCTCGGGTTCTTTTTCTCTTAAAGCTTTGGCTAACCTTTCCAATTGGGCACTATACACTGCACTTGTAATGGTTTGGTTAGATGGTAAAAGTTCATAATGAAGAATTCCTTTAAAATTCCACCAAACACACAACATCACTTTTTTCGCATGCAAGTCAGGTTTTGGCGTGGGCTGCGGAGCCTCATTTTTGTCCAACCATTGAGGCCGCCTTTTCAAATTAACATACAGCACCCATTTTTCATCTCCGGTAACAATTTGCTCTAAAAACGGCAAACGGTTTTGACGAGAGAGGAGCGAACTGCAAATTGTGACTCTTTGATTACAGTTGTTGTCGGTCAACTCATGAGGAACCCATTTTCCAAACTTTTGGACTTTGCCAAGTGCACGCAATTGATTGGAAATTGTTTTTTGTGAACAATTTAAAGTTGTCGCAAGCTCTTGTTGGGTAATTTGAGGATTTTGCACCAAAAGAGCTTAAAGAGCTTCTTGATCGAAATTGGACACACGGCCTCGACCACTCTTGTCATCTAACGAAAAATTTCCCTCGCGAAATTTCTCAAACCAACGCTGGCATTTTCTGGCGCTAACTGCATCTTGACCAAGAGCACTACAGATGTTTTTTGCAGCCTCACTTGCTTTTCTTCCTAATTGGAACTCCTAAGGCATGCAGTGCTGAATATGCTCTTCATCCGCCATCTTCTTAGCCCTAGTTTTGCAACAAAAACCAAACCAAACACAAATTTTTTCAAGCAAAACTTGTTAATTGCACTTCACACGTTCTGTAGATACCACGTGTTTGGAGGTTATGTCAATACAAGTCAAAGCCAAGCAAGATTTTAAACGAATGTTTAAAAACGACATTAATTATTACTAGACCCGATATTACTAATAAAGCTTGAACTGCGTTTTCACAAATAGATACTCTTTTTTTTTTTTTTTGTGAGGGCAGGGAGAGAAATCTCATTGTTTATGTCAAACAGCCACTTAACTGTAGCACTGAAACTAGAACTCAGGTCTTTGGATCCTGACTTAATTTCTAAATCCATTACACTTTTCCTCAATAATACCTTGCTTTAATAAACTCAGCTAGTTGAAAACAAAGACTTGTTTGTGTTTTAATCTGTTTTAACATCTCTTCTGTCATTTCAAATAAATCTCAACAGCTCTGTTACCTTGTGTATTTAGTTTCCATATTCATTTTATTCACAACTACCTCGTCCAGATAGATGTTTGTATACCTATTTTTAATATATATATTAATTTATTGATTTCAGAGTGGAAGAGAGAAGGAGAGATAGAAACTTCAATGATGTGAGAGGATTATTGATTGGCTGCCTCCTGCACAACCCCCACTGGGGATTGAGCCTATAACCCAGGCATGTGCCCTTGGCCAGAATCAAACCTGGGACTCTTCAGTCTGCAGGCTGATGCTCTAACCACTGAGCAAAGCTAGCTAGGGCTTTATACCTATTTAAGGACGTTATTTTATAGGGCAAAAACCATGAGTATTCTTTATTATGTAACTCAAAAAAGAGCCAGGTACTATCTGGACACTGAGTAAACACTGGGTCACTCATGTTAGTTCTTTTAATCTCAGCTTGGAACCCCACAAAAGAAATGTCATAGAAACACAGAGTATTCAGAGAAAACAAAATCCACATGAAGACTCTGATACACATTAACATACACAGTTACATGCGCATGTGTGCACACACACAAAGAATTCTACAGCATTCAAGTTTATTCTTGTTATCTTGGCTTGTTCAGTTTTTCATATACCAAGGTATCTCCCCCAACAGTTATTCATGATAAACAACAAGTATCATGGGCATTTCCACTCTGGCATTTGCCAAAAGGAAAATGAATAATCCAGTATTTGTGTAGCTACAGGGACAGGCAGGCTTTGCCATTAGCAGAGAGAACCTTGGCTGAATTAGTGAGTACCAACTGGCACCATTCCACTAAGCACAAAGGGGGATCTTCTTTACTGTTTAGTCGCCAAATATCTGCACTTATGCAAGTGTGTTTCCATATTCAAAAGGAAAGGGTATTATGTGGGATACTTGCCACTTTTCAGTAATTATGAAATAATCTCTGCGGGACTTTGTATAATCAAAACTTTGTTTTCAAAAAGCATTATTCATCTACACTTGTTTTAAAATGAAGTCTGTTGTTTTTGGAACCAATACTCTGATTTTTCACAAGTAAGAAAATGAGGCTCAAGTTTAACAACACCGTTACAGGCATACCTACTGCAGGTTTAGTTTCAGACAACTTTAAAGGCAATAAAGCAAACTACATAAAATTTTCCCCACTGCATATAAAAGTTATGTTTACACTATACTGTAGTCTATTAGGGGTGAAATAACAGCTTGTCTAAAAAAATGTACAAACTTTAATTTTTTTAAAGAATAGCTTATTGGTTTTTAGAGATAGAGAAAGGGAGATGGAAAGAGAGAGAAACATCAATGAGAGAGAAACATGGATCAGGTGCCTCCTACATACCCCCTGCCAGGGATTGAGCCACAACCTGGGCATGTGCCCTTGACCAGGAATAAACAGCAGACCTCCTTGTACATGAATGACACCCAACCAACTGAGCAACACTGGCCAGGGCAGACCTTAATTTTAAAATGTTGCTAAAAGTGCTTAACATCATCTGAGCCTTCAGCAAGTGGTATTCTTTTTGCTGGTGGAGGGTCTTGCCTCGATGTTGATGGCTGCTAACTGATCAAAGTGGCAGTTGCTGGAGGTTGGGGGTGCTGTGTCAATTTCTTAAAATAAGACAATGAAGTTTGCCACATGGTTGTTAGGGTAGCTGAATAAGGAACGCATGAGGCAAAAAAAGGGCGAAGAATTACCCAGATGGGCTGAGTTCCAAAATGGCACCAGCTCCTAAAGATGAGGAGTCAGAGGTTTTTAAAGGACTCTAGGTGGGCTTTTTGTGAGAGGAGAATTCTCTGTGCAGGTCCAGATTCTGGGAAACTCCAAACAGGAGAGATAATGGTCTTAGTGAAATGTGTTCTAAGCAAGTGGAGTGTCCATTGTGAAGTGCCCTAAAGGTCAGTTCCTAGGGGAGGGGGTATCAAATCAATTATTTGATCAGAGTTAACACATGGGTTGACTATTTCACTAACAATTTCTCTGTAGCATGCAATGCTGTTTGATAGCATTTTACACACAGTAGAACTTATTTCAAAATTGAAGTTAATCATCTCAAACCCTTATGCAGCTTTATCAACTAAGTTTATGCAATAGCCAAAAACCTGTGTTGTCATTTCAACAACCTTCATAGCATCTTCACCAGTAGTAGACAAGGGGCTCTTCCTTTTACTTGAACACTTAGAAGCCACTATAGGGTTGATAATTGGCCTAGTTTCAATATTGTTGTATCTCAGGGAATAGGGAGGCCCCAGAAGAAGAAGAGAGATGGGTAATGACTTGTCAGTGGATCAGTCAGAATACACACATTTATCCATTAAGTTAATAGTCTTATATGAGCACAGTTCATGGTGCCCCAAAACAATTACAATAGCAACATCAAAGATTGCTTATCACAAATCTCTATAATAAATACTTATAATAATAATGAAATATTGATACAATTACCAAAATGTGACACAGAGAAATGAAGCAAGCAAATGATATTGTAAAAATGATGACAATAGGTTTATGTGATGCAGGGGATATGCAGGAGGCAGCTGATTATTGATTTTCTCGCATCATTGATATTTCTATCTCTCCCTGTCCTTTTCTCTCTTAAATCAATAAATAAAAACATATTTAAAAAAAGAATGGGAGCCAGCGCTGCCTGAGCTTGTTCGTGTCGACTGACCAGAATCCGTGAATCCTCCGCTCCGAGCCGATCTGGACTGCCCCGAGCCCAGCTTTTTATCCTTTGAAACCACTAAGAATAATGCCCCTGCATCAGTTTTTACTAGAGCCAATCACCTGTCATGCCTGGAACAGGGATTGTACCCAGATTGCCCTTAGCCCCAATAATCATGAAGTCCACATCTATAAAAAGAACGGGAGCCAGTGGGTGAAAGCTCATGAACTCAAGAAGCACAATGGACACATCACAGGTATCGACTGGGCTCCCAAGAGCAACCGCATTGTCACTTGTGGGGCAGACCGCAATGCCTATGGCTGGAATCAAAAAGACGGTGTCTGGAAGCCAACCCTGGTGATCCTGAGAATTAACCGTGCGACCACTTTTGTCAAGTGGTCCCCACTAGAGAACAAGTTTGCTGTGGGAAGTGGAGCAAGACTCATTTCTGTTTGTTACTTTGAGTCTGAAAATGACTGGTGAGTAAGCAAGCACATTAAAAAGCCAATTCGCTCCATGGTCCTCACCTTGGATTGGCATCCCAACAATGTTTTGCTGGCAGCAGGATCATGTGATTTCAAACGCAGAGTGTTTTCTGCATACATTAAAGAAGTGGATGAAAAGCCAGCCAGTATACCCTGGGGCCATGACAATTTGGGATTTCAAGACCTTAGAGTCCTCCATCCAGGGCCTCCGGATAATGTGAAGCTGAGTGAGCCTCCCAGTCCAGCATGACAAACTGACAGCTCCACCCGGCAGCTCCACCTTTGCATGATGGTGAGGAGAGCCAGCCGCAAGGAAACACTGAAGACACGTATGGTGCAAATGTTGTCTGTGTGGTTTTGTTTGAATATAATTGGTGAAAGTGTTGGATTTTTAAAAGCAGCAGTGATTGGGTTTTGTTTGTATTTTTGTTTTTGTTTTTTTGTTTGTTTGTTTGTTTTTGTTTTTGCTATTTCATTCCATTTTTTACCAAAGCTTCTCTTTTAGTAGTTTATTATGGAAATTATCACACTAACTTAAAAGAAAGGGTGGAGAGGTATGTACATTGCTAAAAATTTAAATAAAAATACTGAATATGAAAAGAATAAATAAATAAAAATAAAAAATAAATTAAAAAAAGAATGGTATGCTTGTATAACGTTCTGTTTGGGAAAAATAGTAACAATCTGAACTTAGGCTTCTTTAGGAAAAAAAATTTCCTACTATTTTTGCTACTGTTTTCTCACTGATTCCACCTATTCTATGTGGTCAACATCAAATGAATGGATACGGTATGCAAATACACTGATCACAAGGATCTGATAATCTATTAAGTGGAAAGACATTAAAAAAACACAGACTCAATATTGCTTATCAAATAAGGTTATTAAGGGCAAAATAATCAATATCAACTGAGCTGATACATTTTGTGAGGAAAAAAACGTAATTTATAATTGATATTTGATGCAAAAAAATCAAAGAGGGCTTCTTGGAGGCAATGACTAAATTTTGGAGCTGAAAAAAAATCAATAATATATATATATATATATATATATATATATATATATATATATATATATATATAAATGGCAAGTTGATAGAGAACTCTAAAGGTCCAGGTAGAGGAATATAAATTTGCTAAACCTAAATAATAAATAGGTAATATGCAATCGACAGAACAGCAGAACGACTAGTCACTATGACATTCACTGACCACCAGGGAGCAGACACTCAATGCAGGAGCTGCCCCCTGGTGGTCAGTGCCCTCCCACAGTGGGAGCGCTGCTCAGCTACAAGCTGTGCTCATGGCTGGTGAGCATAACGGACCTAAATCAACAGTTGGACATCCCCTAAATGTTCCAGACTGCAAGAGGGTACAGGCCGGGCTGAGGAATGCCCCCCCTTCCACCCCGTCCCCCACTCCAGTGCATGAATCTCAGGCACTGGGTCTCTAGTAAAAGTAATAAGAAATTACTTTAGTTTTATGAGAAATGGAACAACCTAATAAAGCCAACCAATAAATGTTAGTTTCTATATGAGAAGGTGGGGTGGGCACTTTATCCTGGGGCCATTTCTCAATCTAACTATCTTTTTTTTTCTTGCACTTTTGGATATAAATCATGTCCTTCATCTAACCAGTGTTTCCCAAAGTGTGGTACGCATACCCCCAGGGGTACGGGAAGAGTTTGATGGGGGTACGCGTTACACCAGAGTTTGGTGGGGATATGCACGGCACCGTGCTTAGCTGCGCCTAATTCTACATTCTCATGAGTATGAGGGATACTCGGCATTATGAAAATTATAGAAGGGGTACACATATGTCAAAAGTTTGGGAAACACTGAACAAACTAATTTGCTCGTCTTTGCTATTCCAATGGAACATTATTCCTGGTTGGGGTAACCCATTCCTAGTCTTTTTCTACCAACCCACATTTCTACTCCAGTTAAAACCCTTACCGCAAATGACATTTATTTTCTTACTAATCCCACCCAAATTCTATCACTCCTTCAACTTTCTCTCTACAATGCAGGTGCTCCAGTCAATTTTCCTTGTTTTACTGTGATTTTTTCAATAGTGCAATGCTCTCTCCCCTCCACTGAAATTATCTTTCAAAGATTCCTAACTTGACCAAGAATAAAAGCCAAAATTCTTGAGTGTCATCCATAGAGATTTTTAATATTTTTCCTTCACAATTTAAATATATTGTCATAACAACATGTTTCTCTGCTACTGATTAGTCACAGGGAAAGACAGTACTTCCTGGAGGCAACAGTTAAATCCCAAGTGCTCACAATATGTAGGCATTAAAGTCCAACTGTCTAGGTTTGTATCCTGACTATTCTATTTACTGAGCATCCCTAGGCAATGCTCTAAATATTGCTGAGTTTAAGTTTCCTTATCTACAAAATAGAAAAATGAGTAGTAATCACCTCATAGAATTGTTTAGAAAATTAAATAAGGTAATAATTTTAAAAGGCATAGCATAGTACTTGGCATGTATAAATATATTTAAAAATGGTAACTAATATTATAATTACTATAATTTCATTTAGTTCTAACCTGAAAAATATAGGAGGAATTATTATTTCCTTATGCGAGGCAGAAAAGAGGCTTAGAGAAGTAGAGGCCTTTGTTTAAGTGGATAGAACTAATAAATGGCAGAATTTGAATTTCAGCTGAATCTGCGCTATTTATCTATTTATCCTGTTATTTTTTTTTTTGCATTTTCATAAACTTTTAGGTATTTAGAATGGAAAATTTATTACTTTTTGTCTATTTCTTTAATAACACTTTTTTTCTTTAATTACGGACATATAATGAGCAGCCATGGCCTAATCTGTCTGGGTACACTGCAGAATGTGAAATCTTCTATGTGAACACCTCTACTCCCCGACCCCCCGTAGGTGAGTAGAAAAACCTTACCATGTGCAAATAGCACAGCATCACTGAGGGAGAGCCCTGACTTCCGGTTTCCCAAAGAGATCCTAAAATTGAGTATTAAGGTTTTATTTAATTGCATCCAATTGTGTATATTATCTCTGAGTGTCTTTCATTCTAAGACCATATAATAAAGCAATTAATGTAACCCCAAGAAAACAAACATTCACTGTGTAGCCTATAGCAAATTCATAACACTGTTAAATGAATTACCTTAAACCAGCTTTTTCAACCAGTATGCAGAGGCAGGCACACTGTTGTGCTGATAGAATTTTTTAGAACATACAATACCTGACTATTTAGAAAGGGGCACTGATCTTTGTTCCCTTAATTGTCAAATTAAAAAAATGACAATAGCCAACACAATAGCTGTCTGGTGTGAATGAAGAAAAATTATTCATTTTTTGTCAGATTGGCAAAAAACATATTTTGTGGTGTGCAGCAGAATTTTAGTAATTATGTGTACATGGGATGAAAAAGGTTGAAGATTACTGCCTTGAATTAATGATCCCCAAAAGCATGTGAGTTGCAAGCTCCTTGAGACAAAGCATTCCAGCAGTCAAGTAAGTTGGTGAAGCACTGCATGCTATAATCTCCTTCTAGAAAATTTACACAATTGTATTAGTTAAGATTCTTTTAGTTACAAGCAATCAAAATCAATTTGAGCTGGTATAAACCTAAAAGTGAATTTATTGGAAGGATACTCTGATAATAAACAGAAATCAAAAGAACAGTTGCATTACTGAACTTCAGTAAGATTAACTGCTGAACATGCCCGCAGCACGAGTTGCCAGAACTTCCCAAATGGGCACCTTCACACCAGTGCAGACATGATGCATAAAACCCCCTTAGAGATCTTGTTAAGAACTCCAGCACTAGGCTTAGAGTGCACGGTGAGTCTTCAGTAATGTTTAGCTCTCATTATGAAACATTTTTTCTGTAAGTCAGGTGTAAAACATTCTGATTTAGAAATCTTGGGGAGGGCACATGAGTTAGCATTTTTGCATAACTTCCATGAGTGTGAAGTTGAGTCAGACTTCAAAATCACTTCTCAAGGAACACTTAAGTGACACAGTCACCAGTGATGGCCAGCTTCTGTATCTCTCAGCTTAAAATGCTATGAGGATGCCCTAGCCAGTTGGGCTCAGTGGCTAGAGCATCGACCTGCAGACTTAAGGGTCACGGGTTTGATTGCAGCCAAGGTCACATGCCTGGGTTTCAGCTAGATCCCTAGTAGGGGATTAGGGGTTGTTCAGGAAGCAGCTGATCAGTGATTCTCTCTCATCATTAATGTTTCTATCTCTCTCTCTTTCTATATATATTTTAAAATGTTATGAGAACAATTATTCTTAATGGGTTCTTGAGGTTCAAATATTTTATTCCTTGACCAATCATCTATGGTCTGGGAATCATAATATATGTGACTGCAGATGACATATTTCTGAGTAATAGAAGCAGTTCCCGGAAGAGGGGAACTTTTTGTGATCTAAGTAGCCAGCCCAATAAGTGTCTGCTTAAAAAAAGAAAGAAAAAAAAACATTCTAAGAGGTACCTTAAAAAAAATGCTTACTTTTGTTTAATCAGGCTTTGCCTAAACTCAATGACCACAAAATGATAATGATGTCATTTAGAACAAGGAATCTGCACCACACAGGAAATGAGTTGGAAAGTTATCCTGGTCCTCTCATGTTCACAAGATTTGGATATTAAACTGGCTTTCAACAGCGACTCCAGTAGTTTCTGTTTTGATATAGCAAAGGAAATGGTTCAGCATCACAGTTTTGAAAGACCATTTCAGTCTCAGCTTCCTAACTCATGAGATATTCTATAACAATAAGCACAAGGGGATTCAGTGAAATTGAATAAGTTTAGCAGACATTGCCTATATGCATTTTATAAATTTTAGAATGTACTTAAGCAAAGTTGGTAGTCCCTGGGATGTAAAGTACAGCATAGGTAATGCAGTCAATAATGTTGTAATAACTATGTATGAAACCAAGTGGGTACTGGAAATATCGGGGGGACCACTTTGTAAACTATATAGTTGTGTAACCCTATGCTG